CCTCATCCTCTGTCACAAGGTTGCCTCCCCCATTCAGGAAGGGACCCACACTTTCCCAGATCCTCCTCTTGCTACCAACGTACTTGTAGAAACCCTTCTTGTTACCTTTCACATCCCTTTCTAGCTGCAACTCCAATTGCACATTGGCCTTCCTGATTTCATCCCTGCATGACTAAGCAATGCTCTTATATGGCTCTCTAGTTATTTGTCCAAGTTTCCACTTCTTATAAGCTTCATTTTTAAATTTAATTTACTGAAGAGTTCCCTGCTAAGCCAAGCTGGTCTTCTGCCATACTTACTAGTTTTCCTGCACATCAGGATGGTTTGTTCCTGCACTCTCAGTAAGGCACCTTTCAAGTACAGGCAGTCCTTGACTTACAATGTTTTGAGTGACAACTGCACCCCTCTGATTTGGTTTAGGTCGTTTCTGGCGGCTTTAGAGCACATGCTCAGTTCAGACCATGGGGCGTGTCCCTGGGACTGGGGTGCTGGGCTGTGTTCACCCCCGAGGGAGGCCCTGACACTCACTTGCCGTGACTTGGTCTTCCTTTCAGTAGTGGGACTCTCCCTCGTGGGATCCAGAGGAGCGGGGACCGGGTGCTGCCCTTTGCAGACATTCTTGGGGCTCCACCTCCCCTACACCCCAGCTGTACGCCGGCCCTCAAGATGACAAGGTGATGGATCGTCGGCCCATCTCTTCGATGTTCACTCCTGTTCTTGTCCCCTCTTGTCCATCCCTCGGTGTCTCTCTTTGTCCCAGGTGGGGACTGGTTCTTTCTCAACATCTGCTCTTGATCTTAACTTCAGAACATCACATTCCATGGAGCGAACAACTTTGCTGTGTCGCTCATCTCCCTGGGGAACATCTGTCCAAACTTCCTTGGACACTTTCGTTAAGAAACCATACGAGACTCCAGAAAAACCTGCAGCTAGGACTCCTGAGAAGACTCCAGCCAAGAGCCCTTCAAAAAGTCCAGCCAAGAGCCTTTCAAAAAGTCCAGCAAAGTCATCTCAGAGAAGTCCTTCCAAATCATTATTATTGCTATTTACAATATAAATACATTAATATAGCTATATTACTCCTCTATAATTGATCAAGTACAAAATTCTGGGGTATTTTTGGTGAAAATAGGGTATCAGGCCCTGGTTCAGGAACCTATCCCCCATTTATAATGTTGTTTCTTATGAGAAAATTGGTTCTGAGTTACAACGTTTCAACTTAAGATGTGTTTTCAGGAACCAGTTGTGTCATAAGTCTGAGGACTGCCTGTACAGCCAGCTCTCCTGGACTCATCTCCCCCTCAGACTAGGCTCCCAGGGGATCCTGCCCATCAGTTCCCTGAGTGAGTTGAAGTCTGCTTTCCTGAAGTCCAGGGTCCTTACCCTGCTGCTCTCCATCCTTCCTTTCCTCAGGATCCTGAACTCAATCATCTCGTGGTTGCTGCTGCCCAAGTTGCCATCCACTACTACATTCTCCACCAATTCATCCCTGTTTGTGAGCAGCAGGTCAAGAAAAGCACGGCCCCTAGTTGGCTGCTCCAGCACTTGCACCGGGAAATTGTCCCCAACACTCTCCAAAAACATCCAGGATTGCCTGCACACTGCTGTATTGCCCTCCCAGCAGATGCCAGGGGGTTGAAGTCCCACATGAGAACCAGGGCCTGTGTTCAGGAAACTCCCACTACCTGTTTGAAGAAAGCCTCATCCACCACTTCCTCCTGGTCTAATGGTCTATAGCAGACCCCCACCATGACATCACCCTTGTTGCTCTCCCCTCGGATCCGAACCCAGAGACTGTCAACAGGCCTATCTCCAGCTTCATACTGGAGCTTTGAGAAATCATATGGCTCTTTTACATAAAGTGTAACTCCTCCTCCTCTTCTCCCCTGCCTGTCCTTCCTGAACAGATTGTACCCATCCATGGCTGTGTTCCAGTCATGCGAGCTCCCACCAAGTCTCTGCTATTCCAATCACACCATAGCTCCAGGACTGTGTGAGGACTTCCAGTTCCTCCTGCTTCTTTCCCAGGCTCCTTGCATTGATGTACAGGCACCTGAGGTAACTAATTGATTTCCCTGATTTGTCAGGAAGTACGAAAACACCTCCCCTCTTGCCCACTCCTGCTTACTCTTCCTCCAGGTCTCCTGCTTCCCCACTTACCTCAGGGCTTTGGTCTCCATCCCCAGCGAACCTAGTTTAAAGCCCTCCTTACCAGGTTAGCGAGCCTGTCTGTGAAGATGCTTTTCCTTCTCTTCATTAGGTAGATCCCATCTCTTCCCAACAATTCATCTCATGGTGGAAGAAGCCAAATCCTTGCTGGCGACACCAACTATGCAGCCAGGTGTTGATCTGCAGGATACATCTGCTCCTGCCTGGCCCTTTCCTTTGACCAGAAGGATTGACGAGAACACAACCTGAGCCCCAGACCCCCTCACCCTTGCACCCATCACCCTGTAGTCATTTTTGATATACTCAGGGTCTCCCCAGGAAGTATCATTGGTGTCCATGTGGATGAGCAGCATGGGGTAGTAGTCAGAGGGTCAGATGAGTGTCAGTAGTCCCTCCATGACATCTCAGATTCGGGCTCCGGGCAAGCAGTAGACTTCCTGAGACAAGAGGTCAGGTCAGCAGGTGGTTCCCTCCATCCTCCACAGAAGGGAGTCTCCAACCACCACCACCACCTGTCGCTTCTTCTTGGTGGCAGTCATCTCGATCCTTCCCACCTTGGTGAGGCCTGGCTGTCTTCCTTCACCAGTGCTCTCTGCTGCTAGGGCTGCATAGGGCTGCATATCTGTACTCCAAATGAACTACTGCAGGAGGAGGTGAAGATTTCTGCTTGCTGCCTGAAGTCACAAGCCTCCAGCTTCCATGCTCTTGGGTGTCCATGTCCTGTCCCTTCTCTAGAGCTGTGTCTGACATTTCTTCCTCCACCATCTCGGAGGTCTCCTTCAGCATCAAATCGATGAATACCTCATAGATTCATAGATGTTAGAGTTGGAAGGGACCTCAATAGATCATCGAGTCCGACCCCCTGCATCGGGGTTCAGATGACCCCAGCTAGATGCATATCCAACCTCCTCTTGAAGACCCCCAGGGTAGGGGAGAGCACCACCTCCCTTGGGAGCCCGTTCCGGGCCTTGGCCACTCAAACTGTGAAGAAGTTCTTCCTAATGTCCAGTCCCCTCCCTATGTCAAGAACTGCTGTTGTCTGTAGGGCATGAGCTACCTTTGCCTGCAAGGAAGAAGCAGGCTATTCTGTGTCTGTTCTCTCTGGGGCCCCCTCTCCCTTCCTCATGGCAGAGGATGCTTCAGAGCCTCGCCACCTCCTCCTATAGTTCTCTTGCCTGTTCCCTGAGAGACACCCCTACAGAGCACTGTTCCCACGGCAGGCACTCCCCAACCTGGTCATCACTGGAAGGAACCTGCAAGCCGCAGTCCCCACAGCAGCAAACCTGGACCTGGATGGTAGCGTGCATGGTGAGTGGCGCTGCCTGGACAGAAGCCTCACAGGTGCAAGCAGAGGCAGTGGAAGTGGCTCTAGCATTGCAACATCCTCCAGCCATTTCCCTGGGTCTCTTACTCTGCCTTCTCTCTCTTACTGCTCTTCTTCCAAGCACATCTTCCCTAGTGAACTTGCCTGGAAGCTGGCCTGTTTATTGCTCATTGGCCCCTTTTTTCATGTTTCCTCATGCCAAGCTGAAAGACTTGTCCCTCAAAAAGTGGGGGGAGGACCCACAAACAGCCTGCAACTGCCTGCAAACTGCATACCCTGTTTGCAGCCCCTGGTCACTGGCTTCCTGGTTGCCTGGTGAATCTCCTTTTTATAACCTGCAAGGCCTGGACTGGCTCTGCCCTCTTGTTAGGGCTTCTGTCAGGCCCAGGCAGCCATCACTCACCAGTCAGCAATCCCTCCCAGCTTCTCAGAGCACATGCACCAAGCACTCACAGCCCACCAGAAAAAACACTTAGCAATCCAAAGCATAAATATATCAGAAGAGGGCTTGTCATTTAAAGACCTCATCTGCATCTGGTCATCTGGTCGGTTGTCTGGGCTGTGTACTGCCACCCATGGGGGTATTTGCACTTTTGGTGTCTGTTCTATGGCTTGGGGAAAACTGTATCTCCCCTCCCTATGTCAACAACGGCTGTTGTCTGTAGGGCATGAGCTACCTTTGCCTGCAAGGAAGAAGCAGGCTATTCTGTGTCTGTTCTCTCTGGGTCCCCCTCTCCCTTCCTCTAAAGCAGGAAGAACTCAGACCTAGGCAGGATATGACTCTCACCAATTGCCCCATCTCTTTGGACAGGTGAGCCATTTGCCACCTCCAAACTGAGCGTTGTCATTCTTCCCATAACTCCCTGCTCTCAATTAAGTTGAAGGACATGATCCTAGTGGACTCCAAGATGAACATGAGTCGGCAGTGTGACGAAGCCATCAGAAAAGCCAATGGCACTTTATCGTGCATCAGCAGATGCATGATGAATAGATCCAAGGAGGTGATACTTCCCCTCTATCGGGCGCTGGTCAGACCGCAGCTGGAGTACTGCGTGCAATTCTGGGCGCTGCACTTCAACCACAAGAGAAGGTTGAGAGGCGACCTTGTGGCTGCCTATAAGTTCATCACGGGGGCACAGAAGGGAATTGGTGAGGTTTTATTCACCAAGGCGCCCCCGGGGGTTACAAGAAATAATGGCCACAAGCTAGCAGAGAGCAGATTTAGATTGGACATTAGGAAGAACTTCTTCACAGTTAGTGGCCAGGGTCTGGAACGGGCTCCCAAGGGAGGTGGTGCTCTCCCCTACCCTGGGGGTCTTCAAGAGGAGGTTAGATGAGTATCTAGCTGGGGTCATCTAGACCCAGCGCTCTTTCCTGCCTATGCAGGGGGTCGGACTCGATGATCTATTGAGGTCCCTTCCGACCCTAACATCTATGAATCTATGAAACGATGACTTTTGATATATGCCGAACCTACCTAACTGTCATTTTTATTTTATCTCTTTAGGGAAAGAAAAGTGAAAAATGTGAGTATGTGCAGACTTCTTTTTTAGAATATGCAAGAGCATTAAAAATTAAAAATTTCTGGCAACCAAACTGGGAGGTGATGGCTGGTGGTTCAAGATGGGCAAGTTACAGCATAAATGAAAGGTCCATTGGGGCATGGTTTTATATTTCACAGAGCAATGTCTTTTCACCAAAGAGCAGTGTTTTAGAGGCGGAGTAACTCAGAGGACTGTTTTGATTCTAGCAGTTGCCTGTTGAAATATGTGTATAATGAGAATTGATTATGCAGCTGAATCTACTGTTTTATACAAGAGTTGTTTAAGAAGCAAATAGCACACAAGGAAGATCCATCTGAAATTCAAGTTGTGTTCTTTCAGCCAGAGACATCAGATAGGACCCAAGGGGCAGATGTATGGGGTCAAGGAGTTAGGAAATCAGGTGCTGGTTAGGAGGGGTTATGTTTTGGGTAGATTTTAGACTGGGAAAAGACTCCTGGAGTGTGGGTAGTTCTTGCTCACACATTTTAATCTAAACTTAAATCTTTGGTCTGTGTTAAGCAGGAAGCTAGACCAGATGATCCTCTCCAGCCTTAGAATCAATGAATTTGTAAACACGGCTTGGCAGTTTTGTGGAATGTGTATAATTACTTTTTTTACTTCTCTAACATAGAAATCTTTAGACAGTGAACATGATGCCATCTTGGAGAATAATGAAAGTGTGAAACTGAAGAGGAAAAGTAAAATCATGAGGCAGCTGAAGGTAAGCACATGGTGATGCCCTGGGGAGTAGCAGAAACTCATTCCCTTTGTATCTTTTCATGAATATGAATGTCATTAGTACTATGACATTTAGTGCTGCTGTGGTCCCCCTGCTTTGCCTGTGGCACTTTCAGGTGAGATGTCTTGCGTTTTGTCAAGTTGATGGCCATGTTACAAAGTTTAGATGATGGATTTGTCTGGACTGGTTTGCACAGGGCTGATCCTGCCTCAGGCTGGGCTTGGACTAGATGTGACCTGGAGGACCCTTCCAGCCCTGCTTCTCTAGGATTTCTATGATTATTGCTCTAAAGCAGGACTGTCCAACTGGTGACCCTTAGATGGCTTCACCTAGGATAATCCAACTTTGGGCGCCCTCTTCTTCCCCCAGCTTTTTCTTCCTGTTCCCACTGCAGAGGGCAGGGCAATGCAGCCCATAGCCCCAAGGAAGCCTGCGACTTAATTAAATGAGGAAGCTGAAGTGCGGGCTGCCTGGATGACACATCCCACCACAGCTGATCTGCTTCTGTTTGGCAACCTCTATTTTTACCTTTCAAACAACAAAGCTGCCAACAGTGATGGAACGGGGGCAGCTAGATGAGCAGCAAAAGGGGGGAGCACACAAAAACTAGCAGCACAGTTTGGCACTGGGCCATTAGCAGGGATGGCCGAGGATGCAAGACTGAGTCCACTAATGCCTGTTGCAGTGCACAGTACATGAACTGCTGTGGGAATACGCAATGACAATAGGATTTTTCTGAAACTCCTTCAAATATTCCACTTCATCAGTGCTCACTGTGTGTGTGGTTGTCCTTTAGAAACAGCTGCCAAGTGACTCGGAGATTCTGGACAAGGCAGATCTAGTTTACACAGTCAGTGCCCGAGAATACTGGGACGAGGAGAAGCTCACTAAGGAAGAGACAGGTAACGTCCAGTCTTTCCCCATGAACTGAGCGGTGAAACTGAGTGTTTCTTTGGCCAGGGACTGCACTACTTGCTGTGCTGATTATAATCCTGGCAGAAAAACTTTAAAGGGGTAGAAGTTTGGTTCAGAGAAGCATCTCAAATGCATGAATGTCAAAGATTTATATTTGGTGACAATGCTTGTATTAGCAATGTACTGACTGGGAGGCCAAAATCAGAGCTGTGTTGTGCTGGGCTATGTACATGGAAGACATTATACACTGAAGACATGATTAACCACGTAATCACATCTTTAGTAACTGGGCAACATATTCCTGCAATTAATGGTGTGATAAAATAGGGGCTAAGCCGGGGAGGGCAAAATACAACTTGTGGGCCAGATCCAGCCCACCAATCACTTTCATCTGGCCCATGGGGCCCCCCAACATGTTGTGCCCCACCCAACCCTTCCATCCATGAGGGTCGGAGTGAGGTGGCCACATGTATACGCAGCCCCAAAAACATACCCTATTGTCTGGCTTTCACCCTTCTGGGTGGAAGGGCCCAGCCAGCCAGCATGCAGGTTACATGCAGGGTGTTGCTGCCACTGCTGTAGCCCCAGGGGACCTGCTCCTGGGACTTCCCTGTGTCCTTCTGGCTCTGGGCAACAGATAGGGAGGCAGTGGGGGTAGGGCTGCAGCTGGGAGGGAGCGCGGAGCATGGGGCTGGTGGGAGTTCAGAGCCCACGCCCAGGGTGACGGGGTGGCAGCAGCATGGAGCTGGGGGGGGCAGTGTGTGGGTGTAAGGGGGAGTGGGTCATGTGTGGACTCCTCCATACCTCCGCACACCCTGGCACGCAGCCCCAGGATGCGGTGGCAGCAACAGCAGGTGGGGCACTCAGGGCGCAGGTGTCTGGAGGGGTGCAGCTCCGGGCAGCACTGCACATCACAGCAAGGGGCACAGCCTCCGTGCAGCTGCCTGTATCACTGGGGCTCACTGCCACTCACACACAGCCCCTGCACTTGCACAGCACAGGAGGGAAGCCCCAGGTGCTGGAGCTGGAGCTGGCTGCCTTCCTTGCTGGGGCTGTGCTGCAGGGGAAGGAAGCCCCAGGTGCCTTCACCTCTGGGATGGGTAAGGCAGCCAGCTCCAGTGCTTGGGGCTTCTCTCTGGTGCTGTGCAGCCCTGGCAGGGAAGGCAGCCAGCTCCTGCATGTGGGGCTTCCCTCCCTATTGTGGATATTAGGATATTATGTGGACTGTCAGGATATTAGAGCAGATCCCGTCAGACTGTGGCAGGACACTGGGTGCCCCTGCCACTTGAAGAGGGCAGGCAGCCTGCAGAGCCACCGGCAGGCGGGGTCTGGCCTAATCAGAAAGTCAGCTGACCTGGGGGCTGGCAGGTGAGGCTAGGCCTGATCAAGGGAGTCACCTGACTGACAGAGACACACCTGATTGGGGGAGGGCTGGGTATAAGAGCCGGGCTGGCAGTAACATCTGGGGATCTGGTACAGGAATATCACCCAGCAGAAAGGCTGCAGCTCCTGAATGCCATAATAGAGAATAACATATGTAGGTTTAAGTAGGAACTAAGGGGGTGGAGGAGGTTCCTAGGGACCCAGTGTGGGGTCCAGGGCCCTGAGAAAGGGGCTGAGTCCCTGGGGCCTACTGAGAGGCTGGATGAGACATGGGGAAGGGGCTGTGTGCACAGGGGCCTAGAGAGAGGTCAGGCCAGACCTGGAAGAGGGGCTGAGAACTGTGGGCTTGTTGAGGATCTAGGCAAGCCCTGAGAAGGGACAGATGTTTGAGATATCTAGGGAAGGATCTGGGTGAACCCGAGAGTGTGGCAGAGCATGGGGGCCAATTGAGAGGTCCTGAGCAGGAAAGGGGGTTGAGGTAAGAAAGATCTATTGGGAGCTCTGGGTGAGCCCATAGAGAGAGGAAATAATCTATGGAGGGGCCTGAGAGGATGGACCTATAGAGAAGAGAGGGCCAGTTGCTTGAGGATTGACCCTGGGGACCTCAACTGGTCCAAGCTGGGGCCAGGGCCCAGGGCCCAGGAAGGGCTGACAGTTGAGATCTCACCATGAGAGAGTGCCAGAACCAGGAACCTGGAGTCTCAACTGGCCTAAGAGAGGCCAAAGGTCCCTGTCAGGGGCCACAGCTGAGAGGGGTGGGGCAAGCAGTGGGTAACCCAGGGTGACGATGGCTGGTGCTAGGTCATCTGAGGAGGAAGAATCAAGGGTAGGGGTCTGAGAGTCAGATGGGGGCCAGAGATGGAGGATTCAGAGTGGAGATGGAACCAGGGCCAGGGGGCTTGGTGGTTAGCAGCCCAGGAGAGGTGTAGGACATCTAGAGGGAATCCGGAGAGGGACATGTAAGATCAGGTAGGCCTGAAGACCAGTCCTGGGTAAGACCTGAAACTGCACCCTACTGGAGTTGGTTGGTATGGTGGGGCTGCCTGTGCATGGTAGCCTCCATGAGAGGCCATGCATGGGCCACTCCAGGTAAAGGCAAGGATGGGGTGCCAGAAAGCCTCAGCTTCCACTGCCTTGTAGAGGGGGAAGGCTAGGAGAGCACACCCCAACAAAAAAGCACTTACCAGGCAAAACCAGGATCATGTGCATCCAGAGGGCCAGTGAGAGGGGCCTGAGCTGTATAGTAAGGCCCACTGAGTATAGTGGGAGCAGAGGGGTCCAGTGGTCCAGCAAAGGACTGGGAATGGAGTGCCAAACCAGAGGGGTCCAAGGGCTTGGATAGTGAGGCCCAACAAGAAGTGGCCTGAGGGTCTGGAGAATGTTCAGAAAAGTAGAGAACAAGATGGGTCTAGGATGAGGGACCAGAAGGGGCTGACAGCGCAGAGAGAGACTGAGGGGCCTAGTAGCCTAGGGAGTGGTTGCATAAGACTGAGGGGTCTGAGGGCCCAAAGCGGGGCCAGAGGAGAGACTGAGGGGTCTGGCAACCTGTGTGGGGCTGAAGGCCTAGAGTGGGACTGAGAGAGGCCAAGAGGTTGGAAGACCTAGTGAGGATCTATATTAGCAATAGTTGAACATTGGTATGGATGCCATCTGCGAGGCATGGGATATGGTGTAGGGAAGGGACGG